ATTGGTGTCCCAATATCTTCTTCAAGGGTTTGCCCCCAATGATCTAACTTCCTTGCACTAGGCCCTACTTCCTAAAGGTTCCATCATATTCCAATAGGCCCACAATCTGGCAACCAAGCCTTTAACACATGGGGCCTTTGGTTGACAAATGGGCTCTAAACTATAGCAAATGCCAAATTCATTTCCTTTTGGAAATTTTATTACTAGTATGGTGAGTCAGGGAAATAGCATGAACATGATTTAGAATTTTTGGCAATGCACTTAGCAGTCTCCCATGATCTTTGCAAGGAACCTGGGAGATATTCCTGAATAATAGCATTTTTTATATAGATTCATACTTCAGTGTACTACCCTAATAAATATTTGGTTCTATAATCATGGAGATAGGTCTACAATGTAGTATCACAAAGGACTGTCTACATCCTCTTCAGTGTTTTTGAATAGTAAGTAGGTTGAAGACCTAGAAGTGATGATTATTAAATTTGATAAAATTCTTAGCTGAAACTATATGATAGCTCACAGAATCAAAACTCAAAAAACAATTCTGATGAAAAGAATTCTGGGCTGAAACCAGAGAATAGAATTTAACATTTCTAAAAATTATGTGTTTATGTGGGAGGAAGAAAGAGGTACCATTCTTAAATGGGGGAGACACAGCTTGGCCGTTTATGTGAAATAAGTCTGCAAGTTATCAAATACTAGTATAAATCAAAGCTGTGAGGTGATTATTTAAAAAGCAGATGCTGGCCAGGAGCAGTGGCACACACCTATAATCCTAGGAGTTTGAGAGGCTGAGACAGGAGGATTGTAAGTTTGAGGAACTTAGTGGGGCCCTAAGCAATTTAGCAAGACCCTATCTCAAAATTAGAAATTTTAAAAAAGGGCTGGGCCTGTAGCTCAGTGGTAAAGGGTCCTTGGGTTCAATTTCCAGTACCACCACCACCATGGACAATAAATGCTGTCTTAAATTGAATGGAGATACAAATGATAGAAAGTAGGAATACTGTAATTATGCTTCAGTCAGGCAAGTATAAAATAATATATATGCACTATACTTTTACCCTAAAATATTTATTGCATTGCTACTATGTTGTACTAGGAAGGATACCTCTACTCAAAGACATTCCAACCAGGAAGGGAGAGGAGCCATGCTCAAACAAGAATAAAACAATGCAGGTTTCTACCAAGAAAATAAAAAAAGAAAGAAAACTTGTATCCAACATGGACTGCGTATCAAAAAGTGATTTATGTATATTATTTTATCCCCACAACAACCATATGTGGTTGATATTATCTTCAACATCTTGATGAAAAAGAGAGAGAGAGAGAGATTCCAAGGGGATAAACAAAATATAGAGAGATCCAGGCACACTCCTGTAGTCTAGTGCTCAGGAGGCTAAGGCAAGAGGAACTCAAGTTCAAAGCCAGCCTCAGCAAATTAGTAAGGTCCTGAAGCAACCTAGAGACACCATGTCTCTAAATAAAATATTAAAAAGGGCTGGGCTGTTGCTTAGTAGCTTAGCACCCTGGGTTCAATCCCCAGTATCAACAAAACAAAACAGTATTCTCTAATGTTGGGACACTAAGTTGAAGGGTATTTAGACATGATGAGCAATGAAAGAATGGAGTCAGGTTGGTGGAGGAAACTTGACAAAATAAGTTTTACTTGCACAAAAGTTAAAGGTGCAGAAGCTTAAATCATTAGATTTATGATTTTCAATAATAAAGACATGATCATGTATTCAGTTTTCAATAGAAAAACAAAGCCAGTCGTGGAGGTGCACATTTGTATTCCCAGCTACTTGGGAGACTGAGGCAGGAGGATAGCAAGTCCAAGGCCTGCCTATTCAATTTGGTGTGACTCTGTCTCAAAATAAAAAGCGCTAGGATGTAACTCAGTGGTAGAGCACTTGCTTAGTATACATGAGATTCTAGGTCTAATCCTAGGGGGGAAAAAAGTCTAGTACCTAAAGTTCAAAGGGCTATAAAATTTCCATTTTTTAATTGAGTTGGGAAAGAGCAGATGTTTTATTAATACCTTAAAAAGAAAAACTTAGATTTCTATATTCATCTTAAAATTATACTCCACACTAAAGATGAAAACAAAATACAGATCAAGGAAAATAATTGAAAAGTAATATTCGAAGGTTGAAAAAAGTTCTGGCCATTGCTTCACACTGCTTCTACACAAACAAATAAAAGTAAAAAGTTAAACACTTGCTTAATAATAGAATCAGTAAATAGATGTTCTTGGTAGTTTAAGTATGTAGCAATTGAAATACTTGTATTTGAGGTCTAAATTTTTCAACTAATTGGCCAAATTTTCCATTTTATTTGACTTACGAAATGAACAACTTGTCTAATTTCAGCATGAAGTCTACAGTTTCTGAGAAAATTTTAGTAAACAGGGTCAGCTTTGTGCCTTTCTATTGATATGGAACATAATACAACATAAAAATATTGATAGCAACATAAATAAGTCTTCAATTACAACATTCATTTCTTAAAAATAAATAAGGAATCCAAAATATTTGACAACTATGGAAGTCAGATACATTTTTACTTTCTCTAGTTGCTGAAAGAGATCGGAAAGCAAAACATCATTAGGTTCTGCACAACAAACATTGTAATGCCTACCTCAGGAGGAAACATCATCTTAACATCCTGTTTACTAGGAAATAGAAAAATGAAAAAAACATAAGAGAAATTCAGATTATGAAGTAACAAAACCATAAATTTAAAAATATTAGAAAAATTAGTTGAGAAAATTTGATGAATAAAAAAGATCAAATGTAAAATTAAATAGTGGTAAAATTATTTTAAATATGCTAGACAACAAAAAAATTGATAAAATTATCAACATTGCACAGTTTAAACATCAGGGTTTCTACATATATTGATTAAAATGTTTTAATACATTTTTGTAATACTACTAGAAATAATAAACTACTACTTTGAGCCATATTCATTGAAATTAATGTTTAGGCACTTTTGAAAGAAGCAACTGGGTTGAAAGTACAACATTTCTTTCATGGCAAATGTCAGGAACTGACATTTGAAGTTCTGATGAGTCATAGGATTGGGCCAAGGGTATACCTGTAGGTATTGAAAGGCCCAAATTTCATGGAGGCTGCTTCATAATTGCAAATCACCAAATGAAAAAAAAAAAAACTAAATCCTCTGATTAGTCATACAAATCATATCATTGTAAGTGGTCAAGCAATGTTAATATTTTTATAGATATTTAGTCTTTCATATACATGAATTTGAGGGTGATGTTTATTTCTTCTGTGAAATATATTTACTGATAAGCAGACAAAAATTCATTTTTCAGAAACATAGTTATTAAACTTGCATGCAATAATAATTGTGGAAGCCAATGGTAAAAACATGGATCAAAAAAAAAAAGAACCATCTCCAGTATTTTCATTTTAATCAACAGGTTTTCCCCCTCCTCTTGTTTATTTATTTAGTAATGGCATTCCAAACAGCAAATCTGAAATAGTTATTATTAAAGTGAAATATGATATTCTGGATAATAATTTCTAATACCAATGATATGACATTCATAATTTCATGAAATGACACATATAAGAAAACCCAAGCTTAAAAAAAATGAGCCCTCCCAAGCATAGACACACACACACACCCTGCACCAAATATAAAAAGATTATTAAGTCCTGTTAAAAGTAAAGAGGAAAAAGAAGCATTATTGAGGCCACTTTTGCATGGAGCTAGCTAATCATTAGTAATGGAATGTGTTGGAATTGAAAGAAAACCTTAAATTACAAACCCAGATGTCTTCATCATGGTGCATAAATTTCAGAGTTTCCCAGAGAGCCATACCTTGGGATCTTCCAGAATTCACCCTTAAACCCTTCAGATTTCAATCTTAAGAGAATTTCTCTCTTAAGAGACCTTTTGGATGGCTCTTTTGACATTCCTTCCAAATTACTAGACAATCTGATCTGAAAATTCTCAAAATGCCTCGCTAGAGAAGCCTAGACCATCATTATTATTCTACGTTGTTTTTCTCTAGCTCTCTTTCTAAATATTAAACTGAAGAAGCATGGAAACTTCCTACCAAATATTATGGGGAAAGCATCAACAATCCATACAAACACACACATTTTTTTTTTTTTTTTTTTTTTTTTAAACAAGAGCACCAGCAGCTCCAGAAGCACTAGGGTCCTTTCCTCCTAAGAATTTGAACTCACCAGACCCGCAGGCTCCCCCCCACCACCCTCCTCTGGCTCTCCTGCCTCAGAAAGGCAAGAGGATGAGGACAGGCTCCTCATCTGGACCTGTACTGGAACCCTGTCAGTTAATGCGGGGAGAAGGGAGAGAAAGTTACTTGGCAGGCAGCAATGTCTCACCTTCCATGCTTGTTGTCATGGAGATGAAATCCAGCGAGTAGACTTAAGTGTTGGCAGGTTTGTCTGTGTTCGCTGATCGGTTCAGTAAAAATGTAAAAGGCGTATTCTGGGAACCTGCGTGGAGTCACAGGACCCTGGTTAGCGCTTTCCTGGCCTACGTGTGTAAATGCCTGTGTCTGTCGGTGAGAGAGGACGTGGGCGCTCGCCGAAGTACGTGTGTGCGCGCGTACGGTTTGTAGGAAAATGTGTGTTGATTTCTTCGGTGTGTCACTGTAAATATTTGCGCGCGTGTGTGAATGTGATAGCGTCTGTATATGTGTGTAAGACTGAAAGGAGGTGGAAACGAGAGGGGGAAGGGCATCAGCTACAGCAGCAACAGGCTCTATTCTTCAGGTCTGCTAAAAAGAAGAAGGAAATAAAAGGAAACAGGCGCTCATTTTTCCCCACATTACATCCTAAAGGTTAGCAATCAGGATTCATCACCATTTTTGCTTCCTAAGGCCGTGAGGGTTTCATTGATTTATTGTGAAAATCCTTGATTTTCTCTCTTTGCTGCATCCCCAGCTATGCCGCGGGCATTTTGCTGCGCGTGATGACAGCAGTCTCCGTGGAACGGTAGTCTCTAGATTTTTACATTGCGTTTCATTTCATCGGATAAAGGAAAAACGGGAGGGAAGGGTGTATTGGTGTAACTGGGGACTGAATGCGTCACTTGGAGTTTTTACCCTTATCCTTTCGGTTTTCTCTACGAGAAACAAACCCAAACGGATCCCCTCCCATTGCAGGAGTAGGCGCCTAGGCGCTGTCCGTAGTCCTGAAATACTGCGTAGTGAGACCTTCCTCCTAAATACTAGCTAGAAAGCACCAAAATAGTAGTCAGCAACTCGCCAATAAAATCTTTAGGTAGTCGAGAGTCACGTTTTCTAAACAGCGTTGAATATGTAGGTTGCAAGCACTCTGTTTTGAAAGCAAAGCAAAACAAATTTAAACAGAAATCTCCCTTATCCCTGATTTAGGTCTCTATTTGTTTCTCCAAACTCAGTTTTAACATTTCCAATTTCTTTCCTGTTTTGCTCTATATCCAGAACCTACAATTTGCAAGCACCTGTAGGTTTCCTACAATTTATTTTTTTTAATTTTTTTTAAATTTTTAATATTTATTTATTTTTTAGTTCTTGGCGGACACAACATCTTTGTTGGTATGTGGTGCTGAGGATCGAACCCGGGCCGCACGCATGCCAGGCGAGCGCGCTACCGCTTGAGCCACATCCCCAGCCCTCCTACAATTTATTAATCTTTTTTTTAAGAGAGAGAGAGAGAGAGAGAGAATTTTTAATATTTATTTTTTAGTTTTTCGGCGGAAACAACATCTTTGGTTTGTATGTGGTGCTGAGGATCAAACCCGGGCCATACGCATGCCAGGCAAGTGCGCTATCGCTTGAGCCACATCCCCAGCCCTACAATTTATTAATCTTATGATCTAGTAAATTGTTGGCATTTGGGGGAAATACAGATACAGAATTAGGACATAAACTATGTTAATAATAATAATTCTTTAAAAACTGAGAACATATAATGTGTAATGAGTTTTAATTTAAAAAAAAGAAGACATTTTAATGGTTATTTAGGGTATTTAATAATTTAGGAAATGTAATAGTCTTAAAAAATTGGGCAAAGTATACCTGGGAGTTCATAAAAGGCCATACTGGAAAAAAACAAAAACAAAAACAAAAACAACAACAACATCAACCTGTTCTTTTTCATTTAAGACTATTAAAAATCCTGAAAAATAGGTGATGTCATTGCTTACTACGAAAGAGAGAAGAATATCTATCTTTTTTTAGTGACATTTTTCTTACTATGGTTTCATGAACTTGTTAAGGGCCACATACTTTTTTAGCACTGTGGGCTAGGACAGTGCTTCTTGATATTTAATGAACAAATGAATCCCCTGGGGAATCTTGCTCAAAACCGAACTCTGATTTAGTAGGTGTGGTTTTGGAGTCTCAGATTCTTCATTCCTAGGTGATGTAAAAGGTTGCTAGTCTTGGGGCACTTCAACTAGCAAAGTGCTAGAAAATGTATTCTGGCAACAAAGTTACTCATACAGTGTGAGAAAGAAAGTAATTTTCTTCTATCTACTTTTCTACATTTCTAGACTGTATCAAAAATAAGCCATTCCAACCACTCCAGAAGTTAATCTTGGAAGTATTTTTCCTATCTACAACTGTTTATGAGTTTGATTCATTGGATTTTGATTTTGACACTGCCTGGACCCATGCTACAGTTGACTACATTTTATAATTCCATATTATGATCTGCAATTATCTATTCGTTTTGGAATTCTAGCTTAAGGGAACAGAGCCAAATTACATGATTCTGCTGTTGATTTATGGGTCCCATTCCAAGAATTTGTTATTTTGGTTAGGGATTTTGAATTATCATTTTATGACTTTAAATACAGCCCCATGATAAATAACCATAAGTTGATTTTTTAAAATCTAGAAACTACAGACCTAATTCTCACTTGATTTAGAAAGAGGAACAGGGTTAGTTTTTCATAAATAATTAGTGTGAACACTGATCTGTGAAGTCACTGACATCATATGTACATACATAGATTTTGAAGTTTGCTCTATTAGAGAGTTTTGTGCTTTAAAAAAAATGTTTTAGTTGTAGTTGAACACAATACCTTTATTTTATTTTTATGTGGTGCTGAGGATCAAACCAGCACCCTGCATGTGCTAGGTGAGCACTCTAACCTTGAGCCACAACCCCAGCCCCAAGTTTTGTGTTTTTTAAAAAATCTGTAACAATATCACTTTATGTTGTTCTTCCAGTTAATAATTTTGAATTGATGGCAAAGGAAAGCTTTAACTATAAATTAGGCTCCTTTGTGTTAGTGCATGACCTTCACCTTTTTAAAGCTACATGAAAGGTGGCAATGTTCTCAAAAGTCAGGAAAGTATAATGGATTAAGAAATCCATTATGTTCTACTTCTTTTGCTAGGTGCTGGGATTCAATGATAAATGAGATTTGTTCTTTGCCCTTGAGATACATTGTAGACCACATGGCAAGTTTTACAAAGTTCATAGAAACACAGAAATTAATGTGAAATTTATATTTTATTCTCCATTGCTAAAGTAGTGATGAAGAATTGTATAAAGATAAAACACAGAACACTTGCTTGCATTTCAAATGCTTGCTCAATTTCTATAAAAAATTTCTAAAATGTATGAACTGTATGAATGTTATTCTAAGGCACATGTGGTTTAATTTATACTTCCAGAGAGTCTATGATTTATTTTCAGAGCAATAAAAATTATTAGAAAGGTAAATATGTGCATTGTTTTAACCTCCCAGACAGAATTGTCTTTCTTCTGTTTTGTCATTACATTCTTAGTTTATATACAAATATTCTACATAAAACAAGTCCCAGTTTATACAACCTTCTCTATGCCTATTACAACGTTGTCCCTAAATCTTGGTCAACATATCACTTACCATTATGATTTGAATATGAGTTGTCCAAGCTCCTATTAATGCAGGAATATTTAGAAGTAAAATGATTATATTACAAAAGCTGCAACCTAATTAGTCCATCCAAGTTTGAATGGACTGACTGGTTAGTAAGTGTAGGCAGTTGGGATGTGGCTAGAAGAGGTGAGTCCCTGGGGGCAGCCCCTGGAAGAGTTGTTCTTCTTGTGCGTTCTCTCTCTCTCTCTCTCTCTCTCTCTCTCTCTCTCTCTCTCTCTCTCTCTCTTTCTCTCTCTCTCCCTCCTTGCTGTCATGAGAGGAGCAGCTTCCCTCCACCATGCCCTTCCTCTATGATGTGTTGCTTCACCTTAGTCCCAGAGCAATGGAGTCAACGGTCTATGGATTGAGACCTCTGAAACTGTGAACCAAAATAAGTGTTTCGCCCTATAAGTTGTTCTCACTGGATATTTTAATCACAGGGACACAGAAGCTGATTGAATCAATCTAGTGCTTATTTGACTTTAGATGACATTAAGCAATTAGCTAATTTAAAAAGTTGACTGCTTATATTTTTGAATGCACTCCTATTTTGAGTGTCATTTTTAGCTACCCATGCCTTCTTCCTACCTATGTGGTTTCAATCTTTTTTTTGGGGGGGGGGTGGGGAGAGATTAAAAATGACTTTGAAATTTTAGTAAAAAGTATATGCCACCTCTCTAAAAATACATACATACAGATGTTTTGCTCAAAACGCAGGCATTCATGGGCACCCCCTACAAGAAGATCATTTCTGTAATCCAACATAATCCCAAAAGAATACTTCAAAACTTCTATAAATGAATGGACCATGATCTTATTCTCAGTTTTGCATTTAGATATAGAGTGGTTTAAAGTCCTTTGTTTTGTTTTAAGAAAAAGAAGAAAAACATAAAAGTAATAGAGCAATTTAAAAAAACAAAAACAAAACTCTGATATCTCAAGAGTAGCCAATGCTGAATGTGCTGAAATAGGATTAGAGAGGGTGGTAATAGCATGATTAGATATGATTAGAAAATGACTGTGCTGGATTTTGTCAACAGTGAAGAAATTATCTAAGTGAGTGGACTCATAAGTGAATTGAGCATGATGACACTTCAGTGCAGATAATGATCTAATGCCGGACTATTTGATGAATTCCATTGAAAATGAGATTTTATGTTTTGCTGGTAAACTTTTCTGCAAAGAAAAATACCCTAAGTGTTTCAGTTCAGAGTGACCTATTTAAAATAAGTTTCATTTAATTGGTTTCAATTTTACGACACATAATCCTTAAATTGTTTCCTAAAAGTGTACTTCAAACTCTCTGTCATATTCACTGTTGAATCTAATTCATATGATAGGGTATCTTGAGCTCAATGTCCACAAATGTGTGAGTTGTCACCACAGTATAATATATAGAAATTGGCTTAAATTATTTTGCTTGGTTAAAGAAACAGAAACAAAAGCCATTATTTTTTACTCTGTTGCAACATATTCTTTTGTAATATGAGTCAGTTAATACATAATTGAAAAATAGAAATGTGAATAGAATGTGGAAATCAATTGTTTTATGCACAATTTTCCCAGTGTAATAATGTTTTGATTATCAAGCAGCAGCAGCTGAAATCCAAGTCCACTAAGACAGCTAATACAGTAAGTTGTGGAAGAAAGCAGTCTTGTACCCAATGCCCATCCACTCCCCTTTTTATCTCTT